TCGTCGATGTTTGTCCAAAAAAAAAAAAAAAAAAAAACTTAAAAAAGAGAGAGAGTCCAGATGCTCAGCTGCTAAACAATCGAGAGGGTTGAATTCTCGAAGATGACAATGGGCCTCGCTACACTACCTTTTTTTTTTTTTTTTTTTTTTTTCAGACAAGCACCCCTTTCAGTGCTAGTGCGGTTGATAAGAGCAGACAGCACTATCACCGGAGGAGAGCCTCCATCTATTGGTGGGGAGCGTCACCTGCTGGAAATTGGGTCCAGCGTCCCGTTTTACAGAAAAACTGGAACCAATGACTGTGAGTAGCTGTGGGACCTGCCAGCATTGATTGCCCTGCAGAAACAGGGGATTAACTGAGCAGGCTTATGTGAAAGCCAAAAGTGTATGTAAGAGAACCGCTGCTGCCTGCCAGCGTCGATTGCCCTGCAGAGCAGGGGATTAGCTGAGCAGACGTGTGTAGACCTTGGAGAACTGCTGTTGCCTTTGTATCTCTTCACCCCCAGAGAGAGGGCGCCGGATAGGGACCGCTGTTGCCTGCACGATTGCCCTGCAGAGCCGGGGATTAACTGAGCAGACCTGTGTAGACCTTGGAGAACTGCTGTTGCCTTTGTATCTCTTCACCCNCAGACCTGTGTAGACCTTGGAGAACTGCTGTTGCCTTTGTATCTCTTCACCCTCAGAGGGAGGGCGCCAGATAGGAAAATAGGGACTGATACTGACCGGCTGCTTGCTCCAACCCCAGCCTGCTGACTGCCAATGCTGACTGCTTTTGTTAAGTGTGGAGTTCCGGGATTGACTGAGCAGGGTCTTATGAGAAGGCCGTTCCTTCTGCTAAGGATCCCCTCCTCCATACCACTGCTTACAAAATGTCCAAAACGAGAGTGAATCTTCCCCTAGAACATGGACACGTACACCGCCATGGTTTTTGTCTTTTGTGCATGTTGAGAGTAGTGGAGCAACACCCAATGTACATCAACAAGAGGAGAACCACCCCTTTTGGGAGTGGGTAGGCGGAGGGGGAACTTGAGGGGGAATGAAAACATAATGCTTGTTCGATAAAATGACTTCCAGTAAGCCATCGTGTGGTTGGGGGGTCGAAACGTGGAGCCCCCTTTGGCAAAGCTGCAGCTGCGCTTGGGGTCGGTTTTTTTTTTTTTCTTGGGGTCGGTTTAACTTAGGTTGTGGGATGGATGTTGAATGAAATAGAAGATATTTTTCTGTTAGAAAAAGAAAAAGAAAAACGTTAAAGAAGCTCCCCAGAATGGATATGGAGCTAGGACCATACGGCCCTGTTTATTTTTTTTCATTTTTTTAAGCAAAGTTAAAGAAACAAAGAGCTAACAGAATGATTGGCATAAAAAAAGTCTTACCTGCTCTTCTCCTGTCCTCTGTCCCTCCAAAACCCGCTGCACACGCATCACCAAAGACCACCCATGAACACATGATCAATCTCTCTCTCTCTCTCTCTCTCTCTCTCTCTCTCTCTCTCTCTCTCTCTCTC